TAACATCTTCAATAAACTAATTCCTAAACTATTTGAAAAAACAGGTAGGGAACTGACTTCCCCACTGAATTACCTAAAAAACAAAAAATGAACCAAGTAGAAATGTACTCAAGGCTAGGTGGGTAGGGTGGCGGAGTGTCACAACATGACGTCTTAAATTCTATTCCTACTATAAATAGGAGACTTCATCCCAATAAAAATACTCCTAAAAAAAAAAAAGGCCTAATCTATGTAAGTTCAAATGTGAACCGATAGTAACGAAGATACAAAGCAATAGTTATTAACCAATGATTGATGCATATCCTAAAATGTCATTGACATTTTATAGGGACATACCTAGAGAAAGTGATCTCATTATTGGCCCACCACTTTCCTCAAATTTCATTTTCTCCTTTACAAATAAGTCTCATAAATAAGTTGAGAAACGCTTTTCAAATTTGAATTTTCCTATAAAATATATGAAGATGGAAGTAGCCAACAAAAAGTACCTTCTTTTGTATGACTCTTTTGCACCACGATTTGCAATGCAATTATCTTACATGCAACTAGATAACAACGAGAAAAACAAAACCTCCCTTTCACTTCCCTCATCTCTTTTGTTCCCCTTTCCTCATGCTCTCACTCACAAACAAATTGAAGGACGGCTTGTTGGGCTAACACCATGTTTGTTTTGTTCTACTCTGCCTATTCTTTCCACTTTTTTTAAAATTGCTTCTCAAAGGGCCATGTTTTAAGCCACTTGGGCTAAGTGCAAGTGGGGGTACGAATGGCTTTGATTTTGACATGTTTGAACCAATGGATGAGATGCAATAAGGTGTGGTTTTCTCCTATGAAATATGAACAATGCTTTCTTGGACATACATGCTCTATATGATACATGATTTAGATCAAGCAAAAGATAAAACTCCATAGAGGAGATGCTCACATTTGGGACCATAGGCCAGCTCGAAACCAGTCATGGGTAGAACTTACCTCACTCATCAAAAGATAAGGGAGAGAACAATAATACAGGGAATTGAGGGGCTGAGCATGAATAAGTGTAAGAGAAACTCTTATCCTTAGTACCATGTAATAGACCCAGTGAATTCTTAGGGTAAACAAAAGGTCATGATGTTAAAAGAAAAAAAAAAAGGAGAAAGTAAAAGGTCACGATAATCTAAGCAAGTTTTTAGACTTGACCATGAAAATGTGGTCTGGCTTTGTGTTTGAGTGAATATGGTCATGTATCAGAGCTTGAAGATCTTATAAATGTGAGCCTTAGTTCAACAATTTACATTTGATGGACATGCATATCAAACTTGGGTTTCTCATGAAAAATTCTGGTAGTATAACGGAAACCCAGAACAATATATACTAGATATTTTCAAATAAACTAAAAGGCATTGGGACCTAAAATAACACTAATCCCCAGATTGGTTACCTCTGCATTTTGATTAACATGCGTTTGGTTGACAAAGAAAGCGGTCAATTCATGATTTGGAAGTAACTGGGTATTTTCAATTTTCTTCTTGCTCACACTTTGGCCACATTTTGTCAATAAGCGGCAACCTCTTTGGATTTTGTTTCTTGATGTCAACTGCTAATCACTCAAGTATGTGTGGGAAAAACATGCCCCTACTCGGTTTTTCAAATAGTATAAGAGTTAGTGTTTTGAAACATTTAATGGGGTGGTATTTTTTTTTCTAAAAAAATATGTGTGTTTGACTAAAAATTAATGGGATGGTATCAATGAAAATGAAAACCACAACGTGGTGGTAGCTAGGGTATGGGGGTGCTACCACCACGTCCCCAACCCCTTTCATGGCCTAATTCCTCTTTCATTGGGCTATACCGGCGCCAATTCCTATATCATTGGGCTATAGCTGCGCCAATATGTACTACCCTAATCATGAAGGCGCTGTTTACCAAAAACTCACCCAAAAAGGGCATGTCTAATTTTTGGTGCGGCATGCAAACAAGGCCTAAACCCATTCATTTGAATTGTAGTTAGCAGGGTTTTAAAAAACACCGAGTCAAGCCGGACTCGTCCGGTTCGACTCGGAAATCGCCACAGAACGAGCTGGTTCTACACGTAAAATGGGAACCGCCCGTGTTCAGAGAGAACCGGGCGGTTTTAACCAGTAAACTTCCCGATGACATCATCAACAGAACCGTCGGCTCTGACGTCACCACTCCGACACGTGCGACAAAATCACATGTGAGGTTGCCCCAATGTTTCCGTGCGAATACCTTAGTTCATATTACATAGGTATTTATATACCAAAGTTGAATACCTATCTTTCGATGTGGGATAATTCCCAAACATCATTAAACGAAGACAGAATGTAAATATAATCTCTTAATCAACAACTTATAATCACATGCGGCGAGACAGCGGGATGGTTACAACCTTTGTTACTTCACTTGACCTCCCAAGGTCGAATCCCCTTGGGTGTTGCATAGTAGTTTTCACTTGATGTCTCAAGGTCGAATCCCCTTGGGAGTTGCATAGTAGTTTTTGTTGTATATAGTGGTATAAATATTTTTGTAAATAACATAAAAGGCATAAAAAAATGAAAAATAAAAAAGTTAATTTTTTGTATAGCAGTTAATTTTTGTTGTATATAGTGGTATAATTATTTTTGTAAATAATATGAAAGGCATAAAAAAATAAAAAATAAAAAGTTTATTCTATTTGAAATCTCCATATTTCTACTAACAATCTCTTTCACTAAATTTATTATAGAAACCTAAAAAAATAAATTTTTGAAAAATTGAAGTGTTATTTCTATAATTTGTATGTATTTTATTAATTTTTACATTGATAATCAAATATTTTATTTTATTATTATATTTTACATTATAAATCATGTAATATACTATTTTTCTTACAGTTGTCAATAATACATTTTAAATTAGATAATATTATAAAATATTCTTAATTTGTTATTATTTGTCTAGTAAAATAATTATAAAATGTAAACTAATAATTATAATTTCAGTATATAATATTATAATTAGTTAGGTTGTAATAATTTTGGATTATAGTTAGTTAGGCTGTAATAATTTGGGTTTTTTTAGCGGATTAGGGTTTTTTGTCAAAATGAGATTTTAATAGTCATTCTTTCATTGATTTAGTCTATTCTTTATTATAGTCCATGTATAATTATATATTTTATCCATGATAATTCTATGATTTTTCTTTTATGTGATGCAAATTTAATACTTAAGTTTATACAAGAGCATCTCCATATTCACAAATTGATGAAAAAAATGAAAGTTAATAATATAGTACCCTCATTTCTTATTGGATTCCTAAAAAACAACATTTATAATGAATTTTAATAATTTTTTCGGATTTTTTTGAAACTTTAATCCGACTGATTCAACCAATTCTCGATCCGGATCGATTTTTGAAGTGCCCGATCCAAGTTACCGATCCGCTTTTTAAACCATGGTAGTTAGCATATTTCTTAACGTTTTATGTACTTCGCACCATGCTTACCGTTCAAAAAATATAGACCTCCCACTCTGCTCTCTAAAGTTCATGCTATTTCATTCTCTAGGAAATACATGAAGATCGTCTCATGGAATCTCCAAGGCTTAGCAGGTAATAGGAGAAGATCTATGGCTAGGTTGATTCGCCTGGAAAGACTGCAGATTTTGCTTCTTCAAGAGAAAAATGCAGACGTTAGAATTCGTTACTGTACGTTGTTTTGGGTTGGCGGAGCAGGAGATTTTGCTTTTTCTCCCTCGACAGGGCTAGTTCCGGATCCATTTTACCCATAAAGAACAATTTTTTTTTTACTATTTATGTACGTGAACCCAGGGGGATTGTGTTTATTTAATGTAATGGGTCTTCTAATTATTAAGGAAAAATCTCTTTCTTGAATGATTTGTCGATCTTTTCAGGGAAGTCTTGATTTGCCTTAGTGTGCGATTGGAGATTTCAATATGGTGCATTAGCTACAAGAAACAAACCAAATGGAAATAGTTTACATAAGGTTTACAATTACAGATGCACCTCAAAAATCCATCAGAAGAAGTCGTTTTAATGTTGAAAAACCTATTTGATTATCTCAATATCAGGATGTATATATATTTTTAAAATCTCAAAAATAATATATCTTGCAATACATTATCTAAACCGTCCATTTTCAAGATTATCATATGTTTATAGATCTACATGATTTTAACCATTTTTAGATTTTAAAATTTTATAATCTGATTAAGAATAGATTTTCAAATAATCTTAAAAAAAATTACAAAAAAATTATATGTTGTTATAGAACTTGGAGGTGCACCTTAATTGGATTGTTTGAGATTGCAATATTATAGAAACTACACACTTCCCGAATTATTATTTCAACCCTTCTGAATAAATTTAAGGAATTTATAACACATTTATAGAGGGACCCAGTTTTTATGCGGCCAAGTCCGCATATATAGAAATGCAGGCCTCTTAATAAATCTATTTTTGAGATGAATTTTAAGACTTAATTTTTAATGACATGTAATCTCTAACATGGAGATCATGAATAAGAAAAAATAAATAAATTTAAAAAACTACAAATAATAATTCTAATAAAAAAACATTTGAACTGCTAGTTTCCATTGTTTCTAGATGGAACACCTACTTGCATCCATCTTGCTTTACACTTTCTGAACCCCAGATATAGAAATGCAATCCAGCCCGCATGAAACAATTTTCCTTTATATTTGCCCCTAATAGGGACAGAATACTGGACTAATAACTCCTTGAAATATCTGAGATGTCCAGAATAGACAGAGCTCTATTAACAACAGACTCGAGAGGAGTTCTATCCAAAAATGTCAGTAAGCCTCACTATGATGTGTGCAAAGTATGCATTCGCTTAGTTCATGTAACTTAAATTTTTCATGTAACTTAAATTTACTTCAAATTATTTGTTATTTTTATTTTCTTGTTTGCAAAATGCATGGTAAGGTAGTCAAATTGGTCAGTTTTGTAGAAACAAAAACTACTGGTATAGAGAAGAGACTTTACAGTTGCAATCATTTCAGCTTTTTTTTTCCTTCAAATGGCCTTGCGCAAGTGAAAGGGGCATTCCCCAGCAGAAGAATGAATAAGTTTAATTTACAGAACTACAACATAGCTAGCTGCAATGCTCACTCTGCTGATATCAATAGCTCTATACACAAAAGCCTGTACAGAGACACCCAACCTAAAGAATTCCTCTCAAACAGCTGTACACCTGCACCCAAGAAATTCACAACGCAAACCAGAAACCAGGACGTGGTAAGTTCCATGAATCGCCAATAATGCACTGTAAAGATAGAGAGAATATAATGCACTGTAAAGTTATGAGGCTACTTTTCTATGAACATTCTCTAACTAGTATGGTTAACCACAATCATAAGAACCGACTTAAAGAAACTTACTATACAGATTTAGATTCCATTGTAGGAAATGAACATCCACAAATGGTACTTGGCCACATCATCATCCTCACTGAAATAGTGAAAATAATTGAGAAGAAATCACAGAACAAGAGAAGTATAAGATTCGGGGCAAAAAAAAAAAAAGTGGTTGTCCAGAAGAGATGAAAAAGTATAGCATTTCTTAGAGACCTCATTGTCTTGATTCCCTAGGCCTAGGGACTCCAGAGTACTTCTCTATGGATTCTTTCTTGAGTTCTGGATCAAGGCTGCAAAACAATACAACCCTAGAGTTAATGGTCAAAAAGGGCATACTTGATTTGCCTCATATAACATTACAAGAGTACACCACAATCCAATGGACATTGGAGTTTGGAACCCAATAGGGGTGCTATCTTCTTCAGTGGATCCCACTCTACTCCATCACCATCGATCATTCCAAATAGATGTTCCACAGTCCATTCTATCGAAGTGAACTTTCCCATCATTATTATGTACAGAATTTAGAGTTCAGATTCCTATCAATGTTATCAAATTAGACCGGTCACTAGACCGGCAAGGGGATTGGCCTAGTAAAAAACGGTCCAACTGGTTTGACAAGATTTTAAAATATATAAAAAAAAATCTGAATAATATTTTAAAAAATATAATATCTTAAAAAAAGACATAGCAACTTTGTTTGGCCGGTTCCGGCTAGTCAAATCGGCCAAAACCGGTCAAACACTAGTTTGACCGATTTTTTACTAAAGCTGATTTATACTTTGGACCAAACAGGTCAGGGCATCGGTTTGGGTCCAGTTCAATCCGGTCTTGATAACTATGATTCCTATGACCATCAAAAAACTACAGACCAAAGCATTACCACCATCCAATCAACTAATGGAGAGTGATCGAAAGAAACAGCACACTCGCAAGAACATAAGACCCATGTGGCACAACTTTCTCCATCACAATTATCAATTGATACGGATATGAAGATAGCTTTTCTAAGATCATATGGTCATAGTTAACTTTATGCTAGTAGGTAAGATGGCACACCTGTTTCTCATCCCCAAGAGAGCGCAATGTGCAGCACAAGCAGCAGCTGATACAGGTGCCACAATAGCTGAAGGAGCCGCTCGAACCGCGCCCACCAATGCAGTTCCAGCACCTGCCCCACGTTGATAAGCCTTTAATGGGGTCCCAACTAGGGCTGAAGCCGTCCTGCCAAGGCCATGAGTGAGGCTTTCGAAGGCCTGCAAACAAGAGTGTCATTAGGTCGAGCTACAAGACACGTCATCCATAATGACTATGAATATTGAAGCATTTTGGGCCTGATTACAGAAGGTTGTAATAAGTCCGATTATCTGCTGCGTAATCAGCTCTTATCCAGTTAGATAATTAGTAGAGCAACAGTTGCATCTCTATTGCATCAAGCGATGGGAGGAAGCTTTACACAACTTTCTCATTGAGGAAGTATATATACCATGTGAAAAGATGGAAGTTGATGAAAAGGCATCAAATATGATGGACAGGTGATATAGTGGAACATGGAAATTGCAAAACTTTTCCATAATTTCTATAACAAGAATATAAGCAGAAGGTATCGAGGAATGGAAATATAATAACATGAATCATTCAAAACAGAGTTCAGAGAGAATTCTAATGAAACGTGTCATTCAAGAGAGAAATCATAAATGCTAAAGGATTCATCAATACCTAGGGCAAAACAATATTTTGTACCTGGAAGCAATAAATTATATTTCCTATTAAGAGTAAATCATTGGTTTGCTGCAAGTTACTAAACAGGATAGAGCCTGTATCTCCAAGAGAACAGAAATTTTTCAAGACATGCAGATTTTGTTTGGATTTCTGGTGTATCAACACCATATAGAAACTATGAGGACTTGCCTAACTCGAATTAGCTCAGGAAATAGCTAAGCGTGAAGATTCGGCCAAATATTCGGAGATTATATACTTCTTCTCGCCTCCCCCTTCCCCCTTCCTCTTCATTTTTAAAATTGGATTTGTCCTAAACAAGTTCCTTTTTTATATATCTGATTAATTACACCAATAAGTTTGATGATGATGACGAGTCAACTAACTCAGGATCAGGATCACGCCAAGCCCCAAGCTGAATCCAAGTTTTCAAATCAGGCAGTAGCATGACAAGCACAAAAGAAAATGCAATTAACAGAAATCGGCATAAGCAAGCACCTGTCTTATCCCCTCCTGTGCATCTTTAGGCTGATTAGCTCTCACATTGGTTTCAGTGCTGCCTTTAGGAGCCAAAGATAGTGAAGGTGGAATGCTTGTTAGAACATATTCTGTTTGGAGTAAAATTTCATGAGCTCCTGCTGCCAAGTGTACCCCTAGCCCAACGGCTTCCATGGAAATGCTTCGAAGGAATGCAATAGCACCTGAAAGAGAGAACACCTGTTACTGATATTCAGATAAGTAACCGTTTCAGTTAGATTAAGAGGATTCGTGAAGAATGGAACCAAATACTATTACACCAAGGATAAGCCACATCTTAAACACCACATAGGAACCTAAATAAAATATCAAAAGAACACATCACATCCAGCATGCATATAAAATAAGCTACTTATTAGTACCTCTTTGCATGCCTTTTAGTAACCTGTGATCCTTTTTGTAATTTTTTATGGGTAAAGAAACCAATTTAGCAGCACCAGAACCCACTTTGACCAAGGATCGAAGAGGAGCAAGGCCTTTCAATAATTTATGAACCTAGACCACGAAATTCCATCATTAGCAAGAAATTGAACAAACAGTAGTTTGTAAACTCTAGAACCGATAAAACTCTTTTTTCTAATCTCAGAATTAGATGAAGAAGACGTAAGACCTGATTATGTGAAATATCTTCCAGCCACTCTCCAAAAACAGTTTCACAAACACTGGCCCATCCATAAAGCCCAACAGCATGTACATGTTTCAGCTGTAGATCAATACCCTGCAACAAGTGCAACAGGTATGGCAGTTAGACCTGAAAGAACCACAAACTGAAAATTAAGCAGGTGATAACTTGCTAGTGTAACCAGCCCATTCTAATAGCCATGTACTCAAAGTGCATCTATCAGATTTCATAGCTTTTAAAAACAATGCCTAGCACCTCTGACAATACTAAAGGTTTCAAGAACTGGACAGTACAATAGCTTAAGCATGAAAATGAAGAATGGGTAGCATACTTTCCACGACACTAAGTTGAGAAGCTCTGCATAATTTCCTCCACGTAACGCTACCAAATCAACACGGCGGGGTACATAATCAACACGAACGACTACTGGCCATATATCACATTTCTGAAACAGAAATTAGAGATGATAAACTGAGACAAAAGGCAATATAAAAAATAGAGGTACTAAGAAAACAAGGATGACTAGAAAAATTGTAAAAGAAAGTGATCAAAACTTAACAACTTTGGAGAATAAATGCATGCACATTCCTCCTATACAATGACAGAAACATACAAAAATCTACCCTAAAATTGAAAAATCAAAATAGTAGAGAAGGATAAATTCAACATAAGCTGACAAATGGAGTAAACGTCACAAAGCAATTTTTCTTTTTTCTTTTTTTAATATATAAGCCTCACAAGGCATTGATAATGTAGAACAAAGTGAATACCTGAAAGAAAGGAAGTAATGCTTCTACTATAATATTTTGCCAATTTCCATTCTTCATGGAATACGTGTTGGGTCCCAGAGGTTCATTAGGAATGGTTCGAGATTGTTCGACAGAAGAATCTTTCTTCGCAAAGAATTCTATGAGAAAATCAAGTTGGACTTGATCAAGATGCAACCGTAATGGCAGCAGTGCCAATTGTAGCCTGAGCAGACGTAATGTTATTATATGAGAAAGAATAATATATAATTTTTAATAAAAAAGATTACTATTCTGGAACATATAGGATATAGCCACTGATAAGATCCCAAGCCAAGAAACACATGATCAACCTAAGAAAGGCACAGGAATAAAACAAACATACAAGTATTCACCACAGTATAATCTTGGAAAGTGAAAAGGCAAGATAATACAAGGAAAAGATAATCAAAATGATTAAATACAACCTGTAAATAAAGTTCATCAGTAAAATAGCTGAAAAAGGATGTCAGTCCACTTAGGAAATCAGAAAATTAGTCCTGCAAATTAAATGTTCAAGAAATATAGAGCAACATCATAAAATGACAATAAAAATTATAAATTCATTCTTGCATCCTAGGCTAAACAATTACAACTACTAGAAAAGTGGTTGTCCTTTTTTTTTTTCGAGAAAAGTGGTTATGTCCTTCATTACATGGTTTTATCAAGGATAGGCAAATAAGAGATGGCAACCAGGGGTCATGGGTAGTTAGGTTTACAAACCATATAGCAGAGGCTGGGGATATTTTTAAAGTGGATCCCCATAAGGCATATGATTATGTGGATTTCTTTACAACATGAAAAATAATGGAGTTTTACCACATGGATGGAATAAAGTTTAATTTGTTTTATTTTTTGGCAACATGTGGGTAGTAATAACTCAGGTGCTCGATTCCCACCACTTACCTACCCAGAAAAAGATAGTCTTATCATGATTCATCCCTCAAGATGCTCATATAAACCCCTGATATCATGAACTCCCATGAGACTCACAAGAAGAAGCTCTGACAATGGAAAAGCCTTACCCCACATAAACACCCTTCACCCTATATGGGCCCCACCTAAATATGTTAACCAGACACTCCACATTACATATAATGACAGATGCCATAATTTTTACGCAATGTACCCTGAATCTGACACTGAATTACCTCTATTAGAGGATCAAATAAATGCATGAAATGCTGCTGACACACCAAAAAGAGAACACCACCACAATGATAGTGGAATTGCTTCTCAACTTTAAAAATATCAAATATCTCATCACAATTCAAAAAGAAAAAAATATCTCACCAAGGCCCATTGATCAAGGAAGAATGCTACAATGGACAAATCAGGGACCTGCTTCAACATGCATGACACATTCTAAGATCTATTTCTAGACCTTCTTATAGTCATCGTATGGTGCTTCCTAGGGAAGCTGAGAACTTCCAATTTTGCACATCTTTATACATGTCTCAGTTGATACTTCCTTGGATTTCAGGAAATCCTTAGAGAGCTAATGCTTTTGTGTAATTCTCCATCAAATGTACTACAGTATCAAACTCATTTGAATCAGTTGTTCGATTTTCTTTTTTTTGTTATGGGAGGGGGGGGGGGGGAGGGGAGGAAGGAAGTTGAAAAAACACAAACAATCAAAGTTTGAAACTGATAGTTGCATTTGCTAAATGGATTAAAATAGATTTCCTAAGTAAATCATCAGGTCAAGAATGAAAATGTGCAGGTTAAAGTAAATGTTATTTGCAGACTGACAAAATACATATTCAATTCATGGTTTCATAGGCTGTTTTCTTTGCTTATAAGTAATCATTAAAGAAAAACAACTACATCACATCCAGGTCTGAAGGGACTTTTTGGATCCCATGACAAAGATTTCTCTGATGAGAGAGCACTACAACATTCTGGCAACTATGAACTCACCTGTACTCTTCAAGTGGGGTAGCTGGGTCAGGCTTGACAGCTTCTAGCTCCAACTTAAATGCTTTTGCATAAGATTTCCTCGGATGTGCTTTTGAATCATAATATCCGAGAAGCTCCAGAAAGAGATGATAAACAGTTCAGCATACATAATTCCAATACCAGAGTAGTGAAGCCAACAAGTAGTTTTAATCAAAATTGACAAGGGGAGAAAGAGAACTTATTGTACCTTCTTCCAAGGAGCATTTTTGCTAACATCATGAATATCAAAATCCTGGATGGAGACTGAAAGCTTCGACATGCATGTCTCTCCATCAGGGAACACGTCATATATTATGTCCAGCCCAGAGAGCATAAGATGAAGACAAATTGTAACGTCCCGACCCCCCATTCCTGGAGACCAATCAGATCCTGCATGTATTCCCCAAGTAACAGCAGTGTTTTTAAGAATGCTTCGACCCTTGGGCTTGGGACAAACACTAGGCTGTGCAGCTTCAATAGGACCACTGAGACTAAATGCTTCAGCCGTTTGTTTCCCACTTAAGTGATCACTTGCTCTTGAAAGGTGATTATCTCGAATTGTCAATGAACTGTCCTCATACCATCCAAATTTTTCATTTTCAAAATTTCCAGAAGTTGTACTAATGGGTGTAACACTCTCTTCAATGAATATCTGAGAGCCAGAGGAAGATTGTGACGCATGAAGCAAGTCAGACAAGTAATAGTCCTCTATGATCTGTGGAAAGCAGGCTTTATGCTGAGATATATGAATATTTTCCAGTGCAAAATCTGGCATTGACTTGTTTAATTGTAAATCTCCAATACCAACACCACTGCATGTAAATGGGGATTTACTCAAAGCATTGCTATTCTTTGGTGGACTTCTGTTTGCTCCACATCGGAAGACGTCCTCTAGAATCCCATCTAAGAGGCCAACTGGATTAGATCTACAGCCTGCACTTCCATCATCAGGTGGTTCAGAGGTGCCGTTTATGTCATTAACCATGGCATTCTCACCATTAGATTTCTTCACACTATCCCACCTAGTTTGCAAATGAACCATGGACTCCTCGATATCAGGTGCATACAACTGCTGAAGTTGAGCGACCAAGCGAATAAGACCAGAAGTGGTATCATGGCAAGTACCAAGTTTGATGTGACAATCTGAACATTCTACTACCCAAGATCCATCTTCACGGTCAACTTCTATTATTGCTTTGATTAGAGTCTCACCAGCAACTTGCACAAAGCCATTACTGCGAAGATAACCCACATCATATGAAACTACACCATCATTTTCATTCAAAGATAATTCATGGAGAAGGAGGCCTATATCTTGAATGCATATATTGTATTCATCGGCAGTCGAACCAGGTCTAGTTTCATTAGAAAGTATCAAGGAAGCTGCAGCTAATACACATGCCACAACTGGGTCACCAGATTCTTCAACATATTTGAAAGGATCATCACTTGTGGAAATTGAAATCCCATACTTATGATTCAAGTTCCTCAAATATGGTTTGTAGCATAATGCAACATCTGACAATTCAAGAGAGAAAGATGACCCATAAGCTGTGGTATCCTCAGGGGAGCCCTTCTGCATTCTATCGCAGCCATCTGATTCATTGTGTTCAGTAGATGAACTGAAAATCGAGAGTATTGCAAGCACCCAATCTACACGGCCACCAGGAGCAACGATTGTACCGCATCTAAAAGTTATGGATGTGAGACTCTGCAACATTTTTGAATATTTTAAATGGGTGACTGAGAGGCCAGTAAAACCAGAGGCCAATGCATTGGCACCTTTTCCATCACCACGCCTCACTGAAGAGTTTCTAGAAGAAATCAAGATAAGATCTTCATCAGAGGCCTCATCATCTGTCCCGCATATTGAACCCCAAAGCTCGCCTTCATTATGACTCATCCAAAGAAAGTTATCATCAGGAGTACCTCCAAGGTTTGAGACGGACAGCAGTTCAAATTGTTCAACTCTCAATTTTAAGTTATTCCATGAACCAGGAAGCTCCCTCCTCAGAGTATCTTTAATATCTATGAATTCTTCCAAGCGAACAGAGACATCAACAACAGCGGACTCAATAATCACTGATGATTGAAACACCTTTGCATTGGCAGGAGAAGGATGCCTTTCTGTGGAAATACCGTACGGTTCAGCAACATCAGGTAGGTTCCTTTCACTGGAAAAGACGTCGGTTACCAGTTTGAGAAGATGACCCAATAATTTATATTCAGAACCAGAGAGGTTAATCTGAAAGTGTGAAAGACACATGTGAAGGAAAGAGGAAGAGCTAAGAATCATCTCTTGTCGTACTTGGCAATCCACCCCCTCCACATCTCCTGCAGTTTTCACAGATGTAAATTCATAAGCTTTTGCATTCATCTTCTTTCTGCGCCTCAATTCACTTAAATTGGCCTTTTCCCATACCCTCTTTGCAATCCAGGGCCCAGTTCCAGGACCCTCTCGCCAAAGTAAAGAAATGCAAGACTGATCATCTGTGGTAGCTGAAAAAACTTTCCCAGACACTAAAATTGGCCTATCACTGTTCTTTAAATTATTTCTTGGAAAAGAAATTAGGTAGGCATCCAACTTGTCCATATCCAAATGCAAGGAACTTGAAGGCATATACGGAATTCTATTGGAAGAACTTCCATGCTGATTATGATTTACATTTCCAGGTTTATGCGTTTTAGCACATGGAGAAAAGTCAATGCTAAGGAAATTCTCAGTCATTGAAAAGTGTTCTAACTCTCCACATGTAAGGGAAGGGACATTTAAAATGATCCTCGCATAAGGAAGGAAAATCCTGCCATCTAAGCTTCCGTTTGGAGAATCCACCGCAGTATATGCGCCATGCCTGCTTCTTGGTTGCCCATCACAGCTAAATGAATCCTGTGTCCCATTAGAAGGCTTTAAGATTGAAACTGTGTTTACTTTGAAGAAGCTTTCTACTTGCTTAGAGAAACCAATCAGCGTATTTACCATATCTAAGTTCATCCATACAATAAAGAGGGGGAGCTTCAAACTAAAAGACGTGGAAGTACCCAATCCATCAACTTTGTGTACCAGGTCGACAGAGGCTTGGCAAGTATGAGAAGTTTCAGATCTTAACAAGTTTACCTTCACCAATGGGCTTCCTTTGTTAGATTGTGGACTGGTTTTTCCATCTTTAACAACACTCGACTCAGTTACAACTTTTCCAGAAGTAGGGAAACTAAAGGAAAGAGGAAATGGAGGTAGAGCATCATAAACTATAGCTTGCAGGCATTGAATGGAAAGATTGTTGCTCTTGAGTTGGTCCTCACCACTAAAATATCCATCGACCTCGAATTGATTTATCCTTGCTTTAAATGTTGTTTTTTTATCGCAGATCTGCTTCAAATGTGAGAATTCAGAGATCATTCTGACAATCAATTGGCTGGACAAATACTTAAGAGAAAGTACACTACAATCAAATGAACTACCAGACTATGTAAACCATTGTGGTTACCTTCTCCAATACATGATGGACACAGGGGGTGGGGGAGAAGAGAGTATGGGACTCGCCAGAACAGGGAATGAACCCAGTGGTTATCCCATTCTCTCTTCATAATTCATATTTCAATTGGATGCACATGAAGCCAATGGATTATGATTTTCCATAGAGTCCGTTGGAATATCACATACTTTCCATACTTGAAAAGCAAGCTAGAAAGGAAATGACTTTACCTGGAAACCAACAATGATGTCCATAAACTTCACTTCTATGTGATGTACATGATTGCCAGAGGGATCCTGTGTGCTTAAGGTCAAATGCTCCTCAGGATTTACAGAAGTAGTAAAGCTATGCCGAGATCCGGAGTCAAGCCCATCCAACTTTGGCAGCAAACCACTATTTGTTGAATATCCGTTATAGTTAGCAAAATGCACGTTTTGGGCAGTTCCTAACCCACTCACAGTATTATTATAATGTGGCTCCTCATGAAGAGAAATAACAATGGAAACACTGGAGAGATTTGCCCTGATACTGGTCTCAATCTGTGGTTGTTCTGCACTAAGAAATAAATGTTAACTCAAAACAAAATTCTCAAAAAACACATTTCAAAAACAAATTATTAACGCAAAATAAAGGAAAAGCAAGCAATTTGAAACCTTCCATCATAAGTTTGATGGAAGCCATTGTGCATGCCAAAATGATACATATTGTCCAGTAAGAGCAGAATGCTACAAAAAGAGTGCATTATAAAACAGGAGCATCGAGCTTATCAAGCAGAGATGCTCCATTAAAATGTCATGTTTTCAATGCTGAGATTCAAAATAATGCCATCTAGAATATAAAGCGATCAATGCATTGAAGCCACCCAATTGAATTCCTAACATTGTTCAGCTCATGCATACATCATTTAAATGTGCATCAAATAAAGGTTGCTGACAAGCCAATAATGCTTGACTAGAAAATAAGTATTACTTGGACCCCAACATGGGGCCCATCTTTCTATCTCAGAGTATCAATCTTAACATCTAATTTCCTAATGATGTTATCAGCACTTGCATTAGCTTCTAAAGATTAGCACATTTTCTCAAGGAGGACAAAGAAGCCTGGAGTTCCAGTTGAAGCAAGAAAAAAAAAAAAAAAAAAGAAAAGGATGCAAAAGTCAAAAATGCCTCGAATTGTTTTGTCATATAGGAATTCGAGAAATCATTTTCCTTCTTGGGATTCATTTCATGCCATTGTATGAAGCTCATCTCTCATATAGCCCAAATGAAATTTGAAGAGAAGTTTATGGTACTTATGCCATTGTTTTTAATTTTTTCTTTTTTGAAATATTAACAGTGGGAATGGAGCCTAGGATGTTATGTTGAGGCACCTGCCCCCTAATCACTGATGTCCCGACCCCGGTTCAATGTCAACCTTTCATTCTGGTGTACTTTATGTATCTTGTTTCATGGTACCGGGTGCATAAAAAAGAATCAGCCGTCAACAACAAAAAAGGGACCTCAGGTATCGGCCTGTGTCCCATTGGCATCAAACATGCGTAAAGGAGTTCATATGTGTGACCTCTCCTGGTCATTCGTGCCAGGCTATCAAGGGTTGTACAGTTCAATAGATTTTAATGCAAACTCGACCATTTCTTAGCAGGAATTAGCTAAAGAATTTCATAAGATTTTTCTTCAATATTTTTATGCAAACACAGTGCAGGGTCCTCTATATAGAATCCTCTATCTAGAATATTGTTCTACCACTTCTAGAGTTCTGATTAGTTGTCCTCAGACCCCATTATGGCTAGTCATCTTGACAACCTAGACTGCAAACTAAATGCAAGTAACAATTAAGATTAGTATCATTCTGTAACAATTATTCTAAGGGGGGGAACACATAATGTGTAGATAAAAAAAATAAGAATGACATGAATACCCCTCTACGGCATCGTAATCTACAATAATAAAATTCTATGCAACTGCAGCGAAAAGTGTCTGGACAAATCATATTTAGATATTTATAACATTGATTTAACGCCAATTCAAACTGGATATTCCAGTATCTATGTCTGCACCCTGTAGAACTTAAATGTTGTGAGCATTTGTGTTTCATCTTAGAGTTTGTGAGATTGCTCATTTTCTTGAGCAGTAGAGGGCAAACCCCTGACTTCCAATAAAATAATAATACTACTAAAAATTAGAAAAAGAAAAATACTCAAAAGGCTGTCAGATTCATGGGCTTCAAATTTATGCATCTGTATCAAAAATCTAAAGGTATAGCACCACTGGCTGCAGAGTCCCATATCTTAGGTTTGAAACAAGTTCAATATTCAGGAATGCATGGAGACATTTTGCACAGCCAATTACTTCACAATAGGATTTATCTAGATATATTTTACAATAAATTCCATGGTCATTCGCACACTTACCGGAGGGAATATGGATTGACCCAGAAGCAAGGCTTGAAGCAGCAGTTACAGCACTAAAAAATGAACAAGTCAAATTCCATATGCCATTACTACTCAAAGTTGCTTGGGAACTTCTCAGTGCATCATAACATTCAAAAAATTGATCAATGCTGCATAAGAGAAACCAATATTGCTATATTAGCTTTTTTAACATGCATTCATAAGCTGTGCACTAATAACTCCACTAACAAGCTCCATACAAGCATGAAGAGTGAAACCTTGTGTAATTCTGACAAAAACAAACATGAAAAAATGAGTCCAAATTATTTGAAGGATCTCATTAAGAATAACCTTGTCTAAATCTTACCACTGCAAGAAACTCCAATAGAAAACAACATAAAGTAGTCAGAAGTTTAGAAGCACACCTTGCTCCAAGGTCTGCTTCCGACTCAGCTCCATCTCTCTGATTTGTCTTGAAACCTTGCTGAACCCAGTCAGCAATTAAATGTGTCCCAGGTAACAGTGACATGTCTTGATAAATTTGCGAATGCATGCATGATGAAGAATTTTCACTGCTTGGTGTGAATATATTCACAGCTGTCACTCCAGAACATTGATTGAAAGCATCACGATCAGATGAGGACTTCGACCCAACAGAATTGCCAGCCCTGTAAGTCACATGGCACCCTGCATCTTTTTTTATGAGATTGAAAGATTCCCAAAATGCTATGATACACTTTAAAGAACTGGGCTGAAATTTGATCTCTATGGGATCCATAAATAAATCAGCATCAAGTTTGGGAATATCCAATGAGCCACTCTGCCAAGGTATGCTTAACTTTAGTGTTCCTCCAAATCCACCATTTTCGCCAATAAGAATTGGAAGTGGATTACTGAAAGGTAAGCTTTCAAAAGAGCTTGCAGTATAAGCAGAGAGATTCTCGACATCACCCGTTTGAAGGAGCTCCAGTGTTGCTCCTTGAAACTTCACAGACTTAACCAATTCAATTGGTTGTGAGGAGATGCCATGTCTAGAATCAGAGTCTGTAATCAAATCTTCAGATACAAACATTCCATCTTCAATTTCTGATACACGAAGAACTAAAATGTTTTGATGCTGTGAAATCATCCCAACCTTTTCGAAGCTCGATTCAAATGCAACAATCAAATTCTTGACATTAACATGGAGGCCCAAAAGCAACCTTTGCACCATCTTTGCAAAGTCCATAACTTCATTAAGAGTTTCCCGGTAAGCAGATCCGGTATTGCCATTGGGCGTCCTGCAGTCAGGCTTACCAGAACCTTTACTGGGAACAGGTGTTTTCCCACCAATATCTGATGAACAATCTTGTGAGGCTTCATCTAAAATGCCCCCAGGAAATGGACCAAGAACGAGTTCAAGTTCCTCCACTTCAATCTCTATATTCAATGTCTTCCAACGAATTTTGAATGATATGGACTTAATAGACCCCTCTTTCACTATGACTGGTGTCCCACCTAACTGGAACCAAAATATAACACATGAGATTTCTTCTTTCAAAATTTTGAACAAGAGCAGTTAAGAGATATTCCTAGAAGAAATTACATTACCATAAAATCAGGCTGAGGAATACAACAAGAATTCATGAATAAATTGTACGCCAAAAAGTGCATAAACAGAAGGTTGATTATCAAATCCTTCTCACCAAAATACACAAAATAGCAGAGCAACCGTTAAAGTATCATTATCCACCAGAGTTTCCACTAAGAGCGTCTCCACATAAAAAATGGTTGCATGACTTAAAGATTTATGTAGCCCAAGATCAGGAATTTTTCATTTCCTTAGTCAGTGAATATAAAGAATTGAATACACTTCCTTTTTTCTAATAAATAATAAAGACTCCTAGGTTGAGGGGTTTACATGTTCCATGCAACCTCAAGAACAATAGATACATAGAAAGGAGAACGTAGTTGATTCAGCCATCCCTAAATAATATTTGAAAATAGAAGACCATGGAAAGGAGAAAAAATCAGTGTTCAAAAAAAACAGTCCGCCCAACACCTAGACGCCTGCTTAGGCCCCGGAAGGACCTTAGGGCGCGCGACCAGGCATGGGCGGCTCTCCCTAGGCACCAATACCTAGGCAACCACAAGCAACCCTATTGGGGTTGTGTGGCCATTTAAAGGCCTTATGAGAGCATGTACTAAAAAACATATAGTGAAATGTTAGCTCCAGTGGAAGTGTGGTCCACATTGGACTTGAGGCATTTCTGATACCTGGACGCACCTGAGCTTTGACTGGCTATGGCTCAAAGTAATGTCTAAATACCCGTAGTCCTGGGCAATGTGTGAACACAACCGATATTCCCTCGATGAGATCTGAAATGTGCCTAGAACAATTGACCAGGAGCCATGGATTTGACCCCTATGTGTGATGGATGGCCTGCGTGGACAAGGGCCTAAATAGTCATCATTACCATCACACAGGTACACTAAATAGCCGTCCAGGAAGCAGACCTTTTGGATAAAGATGTGTGACATGTACATGTGCAGAAGAGATGACTCCCTGCAACACTGGACTGTGTTGGAAGGACCCATGGGCATACTACTGAACTAGGGCCTCCACTTGTCCTCAGGGAGGGACCTATGATCCATAGTGTAGAATCATATCTCCTTCACTTTATTGGTAGACTTTGATAGTCCAATCATGAACCCTTACGAAAGGTTGTAGGTCATGAGAACTGTTGGGTCAGTTTGAGAAGGTGCAGTGAGATACGATCTCTAGAGAGGATGGAATCCTCAATATATTTATCATAATCCTAACTCTATGGATCCAATTACCAACAAATCTTCTTAGATATATTTAAATATATTTTAATTATTTTTCAAATAATTAAAATAAATTTTTAGACTTCGCTAGGTATTTTATATTAGTGAGAAATAATTTTTACTTAAGGAAAAATCAATTTTTTGAATTTATTTAATCAGAGAGAAAAATAAAATATTTAGAGGTTTTATAAAAAATTATTTATTATCTGAAATTATGTTTAAAATATTTGGGGGCCCATTGGGGTACAGTGGGCCCACCATATTATGGGGCGTGGGACCCACATGGCCACCCTATGTGTGGTGCGCCCCACCTCCTCTAAACTTTCCTAAATTGAAAGATGGCAACTATGCCCTATGTTGACTTGATATTTTAGGAAACCTTTTGTGTAGAGATTTTGACTGATTTCAAAATAGGAACATGTAAGAAATTAATTGTGATTGATTTCAAAATAGGAAGGTGTAAGAAATTAACTGTGAATGATTTCAAAATAGGAAAGTGTAAGAAATTAATTGTGATTGATTTATTATTTTCTCTATACAATAGTTGATGGGAAAGGAGTTATGGAAATTGAGGAATAATGATTCCACCTCATCCGTTTAATCATGATGGCTGATCTAAGAGATGAATGGATAAAATCCCTTCACCCCACAGGTTTTCAAGATCAAAAGTCAAGATTAAGCCTCACAAAGATGGCAAAACCCTCACCTTTGCTGGTTTTTGCCTAGGCTTCCCAAATTTGTGAGGGAAATTCTTGGAACTAGATCCCGTGTGTCATTGTTGAAGGAGACCCGATGTGGGGTGTCTTAAGTCCTTGGGGTTAACCTGAGGAAAGGTAGAAGGTATTCTCTTAGTTTATGTTCTTTTGATTCCATTACATCGTTATTTCCAGATTTGTTTCTTCAATGTATTTTTATTTTTATGCCAAGCCAGTGAGTGTTCTTAGCAATTTTATTTGGTTCATATTGTACACAGACACTTGTGAGTGATTCGGATGGCAATACAATACGAAAAAGTAGAAAAAACTAATTGGTATTGACTTGCCCGATCACATAATCCACCTTTCAAACCCAAGTGGCCCAGGCGAGCGCCCAGTGCCCAATCCTGGGCGAGCACCGAGGGCCCGCTCCCTTTATGGCAATAGAAGAGCCCCTAGGGGCAAATTGGGTCATTTTGAACCACAAAATTTACATAGATGAGTATTGGGGGTTTTCTAAACGTCCAAAATGAAAAACAATTCCACTCTAAGCCCCCAAAATTGATTGACTTTGAGATTTCTATGAATCAAAAAAAGATTGAGGTTTAAAGAAGTATCCCAAAGCTTACCCTTTATTGTTGGAATTTTTTAGGGTGCTAGTGAAGGCATTTGACAACTTTTACGATGAGTTCTAGCTCGAAAGCTATCAAAAACATTGAAGAAAAAAAATCGGGGAAAGAGGTTAATTTCCAATCAATATTTGAGATTTCTTTTTTTGAATTTGAGATGTGTTACTCGGCATCTAATAGGAGTGGGAATCCAGGATGGAAGTATTGTGTTAGCCCAAATAAAAATGGCAAACAAAATAACGTGCAATGCTTGTGGACATGTTTTGAATGCCAAGATAAATAAATTCAAGAAACATCTTGCCAGTATTAGAGGGGATGTTGCTCCATGTAAAAAAGTTCCTGATCTTATAAAGAAAGAAACTCTCGACTACATAGAAGCCAAAAAAAATAGAGGATTAACAAACGAGAAGGATATGGCAGAATTGAGGACGGGGGTTAATATTTTTGATGACGACAACACTGATGGGGACGATAAAGGGGAAGAGGAGGTCGGCCAGGTCGCGGTATCTCATAGTTCTAAGAGGTCTTTTGGGTTTAAAAGGCCTCAAATGAAAGGGCCAATTTGATTTTTTTTTTTATGCCTAACCCCAAGACTACATTTGAGAACCGGAAAGGCAAGGGAAGAAGCGACACTAGAAAATAGATATAAAAAGGAAGATCAATGTTACGTAATTTAATATGTTGCTAGGTAATTCCATACAATGTTGGAAGCAATTAGCCAAGTTTAAAACGCCCAACCTCTTATGAGCTTTTAAAGCCACTATTGAAGTAAGAGGTATAACACACCAAGGAGTACCTAAAGTCCCATAAGGATGGGGTAGGCTCAATTTGAGGTTTCCATAATGATTGATACATGGAGTGATAGGAGAAGAAGAAATATCATGACCTATTGGTGAATTGTCCCTTGAGTACAATATTGTTTGAGATCCATTGATACTCTGAAGAAGTTCATGATGCACATAATATATTCCCTTTTATCGATAAGAGCATTGAGGAGGTCGGGGAGGAGCATGTAATTCAAATGATCACATAAACTGCTTCTCTTAATTTAACCTGCAACTCATTTGCTTCACTATAAGAGACCTCGTATATTTTGGACACCTTGTGATGCAAATTGCATAACCCTTATGCTTGAGGCCATTGGTGACTTGTTTAGTATTAAAGGGACACTTTCGAAAGCTAAGGAGGTCACGACTTCATATATAACCACACCATTACCCTTAGCCTAATGCATAAGTTCACAAAAAAGAAGGGGCTTCGGAGGCCCGAGGTCACCAGATTTGCTACAGCTCAACTGAGTCTTAAGAGCAGTTATGGTAGGAGGAACCATTGAGCTCTATGTTCACTTTAGAAGATTAGAATAGGCTTAGGTGGTCTACAGATCCTAAAGGAAAATTATTCTTTCTAAAGTTTATTGGCGTGCGGTAAAACACTCTCTAACAGTATTTCTACCCTTGGTAAGGTCTTGTACTTGGCTGATGCTAACAAGCCCTCTATGGGCTTATACATGATGCACTAGAAGGAGGTAAGCAGGAGATAGTAGAGAATTTGGCAATGATGAGGCCAAATATGGCCCAATTTGGGAAATTGTTGGTGAGAAGTGGGATAGGCTGCTTCATAGACCATTGCATGCAGGTGAGCACTATTTGAACCCAAATTTCTTTTATGCTGACCTAGATATTTAGGGAAAAGATACAATCATGGATAGATTTAATGAGTGCCTTGAGAGACTAGTTGCTGATGCGTAAATACAAGATAAAATATATGTTAAGCTCATTCTATATAAGTATGTTTTGAGTCCTTAGAGAAAGAAATGGTGGCAAGAGAAAGGAACAAATACTTAGCCCCAAAAAAAAAAAAGACAAAGGACCAAATCATAACCGAGTAACATCTTTTATTTGAAAATATTGTATTTTAAATTCGCTAAAATTCTTCATGATAATTTCAAATTGCAGCCTTATGGTGGAGCCAGTATGGGAGTAGTGTTCCAAACCTCTACAAGGCGGCTACTCGAGTTTTAAATTTAACAGCTACCTCTTTTGGTTGTAAGCGGAATCGGAGTCCGTTTGATATGGTATTTTTAGTCCTTTTTTTGTTTAGAAGTTCTTTTTTTGTTTAGTTGTTTACAAGTTCATTTTCCTATTATGGAAGGTATAGAGTATAGACCTAAAGTACATTAGTACCAATCTAGATTGCTCAAGTAGATGCAATAGTATAGTAGTAGTACTCATGCATTTTTTCTCATAGGTGCAAACAAAGACAAGAAATAGACTTCAACCGCGAAGGATAGTTGTCAGAAACGATACCGAATCCGAATAGTTTGAAGAATTGGAAGCACGGCCGGCTAGAAGATTCTTGTTCTTAGAATC